TAGTATCAAATCTAGGGTGTTTGACGAGCTCTGTGGGACACGCGTCGGTTCAGTTATCAACGGCGAGAGGTTGAAGTTCAGACACACATCAAAAAAGTTAGTTGCTTCTGGGCTAAAAGTTGTGTAGTTATGCCAGTCAATGCGAGGATAATTGAAATCTTCGAAGAGAACGATGTCAGCGTTTGGATGCACTCTTGTAAGAGCGTTTAGAATGCTGTTCAGTTTGCACGGGAAATCGGGGTTACTTTGGGGCGGCCTATAGGAAACGCCTAAAAGTACGGTTCGCGGTACCGCGCGGCAAATGATCCATAATATTTCAATGTCCGAATCGAGGTGTAATACTGAAGATGATAGCTGCTGATTCACTGCCACAAGGACCCCACCCCCACGTCCATCTGTGCGATCTTTGCGATAAATATGGAAGTTAGGCAGGTCGGCTAGAACTTCATCGTCACTGATGTTGCTATGTAGCCACGTTTCAGTTAATATGAGCACATTGCTGGTAGATGATAAGACAACATTTGATACAAGCTGACGTTTCGGCAAGAAACTGTGAATATTAGTAAATATTACAGACAATGTAAGGTTAGCCCGAGGAACTTTGCTATGATGGTTTTTTTTTTCTTTTACAGCCAGTTGATCGCTATTTGAATTCTCTGACAGATTACGAGACTTCGTCATAAATATATTTCTTTGAGCCGATAGAAAGTGTTTTGTAAGACAGTTGAAAGCGATCAGATTTAGTTTTGGCAAAAGCAACCAAATGCTTACGAGCGTTTCTGACCGAGCGGGAGAAGTCCTGTGCGATACTGTAATTAGTCCCTTTTAATTTTCGAGCATTAGAAAGAACAGCTTCTTTCGTTTTGTAGAAGCTAAACTTAACGATGATGGGGCGACCGCGCTCGATAGGGTGACGGCCTAGGCGATGAACCCTTTCAATATCCTTTGGGTTTATCGTAAGGCCAAGGTGGTCACGACAGTGCTGTATGACCAATTCTTCGGTTTGGGTGTAACTTTCTGAATTACTAGGCTCGGGCAGGCCATAAAATACCAAGTTGTTTCGCCAGTATCGATTTTCGGCATCGTCAAGACGTGTCTCGAGTTCGAATACTTGGCGAGCTGTCTGGGCAGTGTTGGACTTTATGTTGTCTATTTCTGTGCGAAGCAAAATAAGGCTCTGACAATGTTTTTCAACATCATTTATCCGCTGACTCAACTGAACGATAGTTTGATTCATGGTTAGAAGTTGGTCTTTCAGGTCACTTCTGAAATTAGTTTGGAATGACCAGCTGATATTTTATGCAATTCGTTGAGTATAGCGGTTGTGTTAGGACCCGGATTCGTCTCGACGTCGCCCGATAACATGAGCAAGAAACGAATGACGTCAGCACACTTAACAACAATTAAAAAGCAGCACCGTGGGCTCAACAGCTGTAGCAAAAAGTAGTTGCTTGATTTCTTTGAGAACAGAGCTTACGGTTTACTAACCTGCATGGCAAAGGTAAGCGGGTTACTGCTCTGTGCTGTAGCACAGCTGTCGAGCCCACGAAGCGCCGCGGTAGATCGCAGCTCTTTTGTAGGCGACAAACAGGTTGATGTTCCAGGCGATGCGATCTCCCATGGTGAAGTGAGGACCGAGTGTTCCAGGGTTAGCGCCATCTGGTCGGTTGAGGTGCTGGCTTCCGGTTGGGTAAGGGGCGTTGTTCAGTAGAAGCCTTGAGTTTCCCAGCCATTTCCTTGAAACCGCATGTCGACGCTGTCTCGGTGGTGGCGAACGATAAGGCAGGCAACAGCACGCGCGAGATAGCAAGCGTGAATACCTGCATGGCAAAGGTAAGCTGGTTACTGCTCTGTGCTGTAGCACAGCTGTCGAGCCCACGAAGCGCCGCGGTAGATCGCAGCTCTTTTGTAGGCGACAAACAGGTTGATGTTCCAGGCGATGCGGTCTCCCACGGTGAAGTGAGGACCGAGTGTTCCAGGGTTAGCGCCATCTGGTCGGTTGAGGTGCTGGTTCCGGTTGGGTAAGGGGCCTTGTTCAGTAGAAGCCTTGAGTTTCCCAGTCATTTCCTTGGAACCGGCATGTCGACGCTGTCTCGGTGGTGGCGAACGATAAGGCACGCAACAGCACACGCGAGATAGCAAGCGTGAATACCTGCATGGCAAAGGTAAGCGGTTACTGCTCTGTGCTGTTGCACAGCTGTCGAGCCCACCATTTTGTGGTCTTCTGCCTGTCTCTGCAGGATCGTGTGGAAACGCTGGCTTAGACGCAGTAGAGTAGATGAGCACAATGAGTGCGTGAACGCGTAGGTGCGTTACAAGGCGGTCGTCTGCTCCATAAGCTGACCGCGGGGACACGAATGCATGTCAAACGCTGGCACATTAGGCCCGCATTTCGTTGCAATTCGGGGGAAAAAAAAAAAAAAAAAAGACGCTCCCATTCCATTCCCTGAATGCGTCTCATTATCTATCTAGAGTTTTATTGATCTTTTCAAGCAACCAATTGCATAAACTACGCATGCCATGTTAAATAATTTTCACCATATCACGTGCCACTGTCTACAACATCAGAGCAGAGTCGTCTACGTAGAGGACCAACGTCACTGCATTGCCGTGTACGTCGGGCCATTCATACGCGCACATCATGCCCTCATTCTCTAGGAGTGCGCTGGCAGAGGGGAGGGAGAGAAGCGCTAATCTTGAAATTTGGCCCATTTCCACGGTGCGCAGCGTTGCAAACTTTGGCAGACGTGATCATGAACGCCTCGTCTACACACTGCGCTTGTGAGCTCAAAATTGTCAGATCTGGTGAGTGGCCCTTTAATGCTGGGTAGAAAATTATGTCTCAAAATACACTACATGCCATCATAGCTTTTATCTGATGTAATGTTTTATCTGAAGTGATGCTTTTATCATGTGCAAAGCAAGCTGGCAATGTTTTTCTACACAAAATCAAGCTGTGCCAGCTCGTCTGAACTTAGCAATGACGACTTCAGCAATGAGTGCATCTATCTGAGCATGGAAGCATTGCCTTCTCCACCCTCCAGCGTATGAACTGCCCCACATAAATAACATTGAGCCACGGCAAAATGAAGTGCGCACTGCATGCATCAGTGTGCTGAGCGAGGGGGGTGAGAAAAAGATAGATACGATCTGTCACGTACAAAGAGTAGCATGTATGTAAAGCTGTGATTACAAGATTGGCTACCAATTCATACATCCTTTTTTTTTTAACCAAATGACTTGCAGTTATTATATAATTCAGCCTATCCTATCTGAACCAAATGACTTGCAGTTATTATATAATTCAGCCTATTCTATCTGGGTACATAAAAGTAAATGTGTTGAAATTTTTTTTAAGTTGGTGGCTATACAAAATTGCCACAGTTCTCTTCTGACTCTGTGTGTAAATATTTATTCAAAACTTATAAAATAAATAGTTATTGATTCAGGCTTGTGTTCTCTCTTATTCAATATTCGTCTTTTGTTTTCTAATAACTTGACAAAAACTTTCAAAAGAGGGCAACGCACGAGTAAACAGAATACATGCAAACGTGCATGATGTAACCTTTCTAAAGCGGTAAGTTTCCCGCAATAATGCTAGTCTACGATAGAAAAAAGTCTGCACTGTGAACTCCACTTGTCCTAAAATTCAAGGACTGTCAAGGACAAAACACAATTTCAGGACCTACAGAGACCTTCAAAATATACTTTCCAAATTAAAAGGTTTTCAAGGACTTGTAGGAACACTACAGTGGGCACTCATGCAGGAATGGCTTAGGCAAAAGACCTAACACATGACATTTTGACATTTATACCCAAGTGCTTTTTATAAACATGTACTTGGTTCTACTGTTTCCACAAATACTGTAAAGTCTCGGCCAAGCCCCCCCCCCCAGCCAGGATAATCCCACAAGATTTGGAGGGGGCAGGATTGCTCAGTCGTGCATCAAAATTGAAGGTCTTGGTGGTATGGCCACTAAGAACAAAGAATGGACACTTAGGCTCGTATTTGCATGTTTCTTTAAATCCTAATTCATGCAATGTTTTTGTTCCTCTTCGACGGGCGAATACAAAGTGATGCAAATGGTGGGAGCACAGAGCACGTGCTCAGATAGGGGTGCACGGTCGGGAGTCCTACAATCAAGGATAGTTTGATATGGCTAAATGCTTTTGTGAAGATTATAAGTGGCAAAAGAGATATTGATTTGCAAACTCTAGAATCATGGAATGCCACTGAATGATATGACCAGGTTGAGAGACCCCAGCGTTGCATTTTGTTTATTAAGATGTAATCACAGAAAAAAGCCACCCGCATCTTCCCACGGCAGGGGGGGGGGGGGAGACTCGAGTAAATGTGTTGCAGAGTGGTGGGAGTATTGCGTGAATTTTGCATAAGTAAATATGGTTTGGAAATGCTTAATTGTTATTTCGTCTTTATTATTTTTACTTAATAAATGAGGCACTAGACTTGCCTTCAACGAGCGGTGGAACGCTGATGTGCGATCCAGTGCCAACGTACCTATACGGGGTGGCCAGTGAACAGTTGTACAGCGCGAGGAGTCGGATTTTGCTAGCAGGCACTGCCCGAATCAGCTTTGTGAGGCGAGAGAAGAAGGGGGAGGGAGAGTTGGCATGGGACGCAAGCAAGCCCAGTCGTGTCGCCTACGCCGCTGCCGAAGCGGGATTTGCCAATAGGTGTGACTATAAAATGCGAAGATGTGGCTTTAAAACGAGAAAAAAGGAAATGCTGCAACATCATTAACTTGCTTAGAATATTCACAATATTATCAATGCATTAAACACACAGCAAACAAATCACTAGTTGAATCATCAGAAGGTTTAAGCACACCTTCATCTATGCGAAACAGCACAAAGAAAAAAAAATGAGAACACAGAGAAACAGACCGTGTTCTTGCTTTTTTTTTCCCGCACTGTTTCACGTTGATGGAGCCGTACCAACAAGCTCAAGTTCATACCCTTTTACAGCACACCTTGCCCACCTGTTGAATTTGTTTTTTCTCCAGTCTGTGTTCCTGCATGGTGCTTGGCACAGTAGTCGTGGTCAGAGGCATAGAAACGACTTTCGGGGAGCAATTGATAGTGCCATAAAAATGGAATAGCTGTGTTAGCCTTAAATGAGATATCCGCATCATTTTGCAATATAGAGTATGATGCACGAGTCTGTAAAGTTTCCAATGGTCCAATCTCCACAATTGCTGCAACTTCATTCGTGAATGCCACTTGAGAACTGCGGAACTGGAAAAAAAAAAAGGTGTGGGGGTGGGGGGGGTCATGTTACGTCACAGTTTATGTTGAGATGAGCAGGACTACTTCCAAAAAAGTCACAGATTGTCTTCTCTATGGCAACAATGAAGAAATAGGCAACAATATACAGTTCAGCATAAATTTTGAAGACTACCTCTGCGCACTCAGGCACATTTCCAAAAGTATGCACTACATAGCAAGCATAATGAAAAAAAAATATGCACTGCTGCTAACACTACCCAGTAGTGCGACTTGTTGGGCAAGTTGGTTCATTCTTACGGTAGCTTTTAGTGCAAAATCAAGACGAGAAAGAAATAAGCGATAAATATAAACCGACCCTATTCCAAAGACTTACACACATATATATACGTGAACAAGGTCACAGCCACATTAGCAAAAAAAAAATTATATTAGGGGCAGGCGCTCAAATATTCCAACTCAGTGCCATGCAACATGATAGAGGGCCTCGCAATGCATGTATAGCTCGTTCTGTCAATAAACAAGCTTCCACAATTTCTCCTGCAACCTTCCCTTTTAATCCTGAGAGTACCTTAGTTTCTGAGAGCAAAGGTGTACAGCCGCACTCCCTGCAATGCAAAGAAAGATTAGAACAAGGTGTCCCTCTCAATGAAGCTTATGATCTAATAACCTATTGTTCAAAGACCCAACTGTCTGCCCAACAAAGCATTTTTCACACGATAATGGTGTATAATATACTAACCTTTCTGCCATATTAGACCAATTTATCACAGTGATTGATATCACACCCATGGTCCCTCTTGCTCTGTCCTGATAACTTCTTACCCACAGCCACACAAATGCAGCGCAGCTCGTCTGCAGCAGAAAAAACTACACTACATCCGAAACACTCACCCACTTTTTTCAACTTTGGGAAACCTCGTGAACATACGAAATGCTCAAAAAAGTTGCACCTTCCTTCTGTTTTACTTGGATTGCACCCCACGCTTTTACATATTTTGCAAGATCTTATCACTTACGACCCCTAATTGGTGTTTTGGGAACCTAGACTTCCGAAGCTTCTTAATTTGCCGTGAAAAACTCTCATGCATGTGATGTGGGCACATTTTGAGTGACACTCCCAGACAGGTCATCGCAACACCGTTTTTTACTATTTTAGAGATACCCCAACAGAAGGCGATGACAGATTTGACACTGTATGGGGCGTACATTTAACAGCTATGGCTTCCACCAAAATTATGCTCAGATCTAAGAACTGTATGCGACCATTGTCGGGAACCTCCCAGGTAAACTTCAGCCCCGACCCCAACTTTTTGAACACCTTCAAGACATCGATCCTAGTGCTTACGCACCGACAGCCTTCAACGAAAAACATGTAGTCCACATATCTGAAGGTTTTCACCACCACTGAGTTATGTCTGGGAGTGTCACTCAAAAAGTCATGCCCACATCACATGCATGAGAGTATTGCACGGCAAATTCAAAGGCTTTGGCAGTCTAGGCTCCCAGAACGTCAATTAAGGGTCTTAAGCGAAAGGATCTTGCAAAAGATGAAGATAGAAGCGTGGTGTGTAAGCCAAGTAAAACGGAAGGAACGGGCACCTTTTTGATAGTTGATAGTTTATGCTTGTCCGCCCCTTGTCTTTATGTCAGGCTAAATGCTGCCGTTCAAGGGGTTTCCCATAAGTTGAAGAAAGTTGGTGAGAGGTTCAGATGTAGTGTGGATTTTTCTGCTGCAGACAAGCTTGGCTGGATATGTGTGGCTGTGGATAAGAATCTATCAGGACAGAGCAAGAGGAACCATGTGTGTGACATCAAGCACTGTGATAAATTGGTCTAATATGGCAGAAAGGTTGGCATATAACACACCATTATCGTGAGAAAGAGGCTATGTCGGGCACACGGGTCGGTGTTTTAACAATAGATTATTAGATCATAAGGCTTCATAGTGAGGGACGCCTTGTTCTAATCTTTCTGTTCATTGCAGGAAGTGCGGGTGCGCACCTTTGCAATCAGAAACTAAGGTACTCTCAGGATTAAAAGGGCACGTTGCACGACAAATTGAGGAAGCTTATTTTATTGACAGAACAGGCTAGACATGCGTAGCGAGGCTCTCTATCACGTTGCATGCCACTGAGTTAGATTAATGAGCACCTGCCACCAATATAATTTATTTTTTGCTAATGTGACTCGTAACTGTGACTTTGCTCACGTATATATATACGCGTGTCTTTCGAATTATTCAGTTGATAGTTTGCGCTTGTCCATCTCTCACCTTTATGTCACGCTAAACACTGCCGTAAGACACTGCACAGGAGTGCCAACAGCTAAAACACGCTTCGGAGCAAACACGGTGACAGTAGTTCCATGAGACATCCGGTCATATCAGGCTGTCTTTAGCGACGCACTCTAAGTCTAAAACGGAGCGACGTTAGCATATTTCATTTCAACTATTACAGCGCGATTGTCCAGTGTTTAGGTATACTCACAGTTGTGTTTTCTTGCGATTGCTGAGCACTGCAGCAGTCATCTCCAAGAGTAGGGGCTGTTGTGCAACCCATCGGCATCGTGTCGCAACGATGCCTTATGCCGACGCACCTGACACCTTAAAGTCGACCGGTCGATCCTTCAAGACATTCGCAGCGATGTGTCGAATATAGTACATTCTAATTGATTGATTGATTGATTGATTTATATGTGGGGTTTAACGTGCCAAAACCACCATATGATTATGAGAGACGCCGTAGTGGAGGGCTCCGGAAATTTCGACCACCTGGGGTTCTTTAACGTGCACCCAAATCTGAGCATGCGGGCCTACAATACAGGCCTACACGGGCACACGGGCCTACAGTACATTCTAGGCACTACAGCAATGTAGCACTACCATCACTTTAATGCGAATTCACTGGTGCCGTTCAACCACACAGCTTCAAACTCCACAGACTTCACAGCATCCATGGGGGAAGAAAAACTCAGGAGAGACCTTCGCCATGGATGGATGGATGGATTGATGTGACTGTACACCCTTTAGATGATGATGATGATGATGATGATGATGATGTGATGGCGGCCGGCCCCTTTGCAACGGGGGAACACACTCAGTGTCCTGGCCTCAAAAAGAAAAGTGGGAAAAGAAAAACAAAAAGCACAGAGAAAAAAGAAAGGACCAAGAAAAGGATCCACACTCTTGAACGACACAGGCAAGAGACGCGCACACAGTGGTCTAGGTCCTAAGTCCGCCGTATAGTTGCCCACCACTCAGTAAGCCGCCTTTTCGTGGCTGCGACCGCGTACCGTCCCCCCCCATTGTCGCTGCTTCCATCTTCATCAAGCCTTTGAAACCCGAGCGCCTGTGGGAGGGTTGCACCCTCCACCTGAGAAGTTGGGAGACTCCTGCAGTGAAGGACGAGATGCTCCTGTGTCTCACTCGCTACGCCGCAAACTCTGCACAGGTTGCTGACCACAGTGGCATCAAACTTTCTGCGGTACTCCAGAGTGCGAAGAGCCCCAGCTCTCGCCTCGAACAGGAGGCTGCTGCCAATGCTATTGTCATAGAGGCGCGACCCACAGATGCTGTCCTGGTGTTTCCTGTAGCACTCGAGAGTGGACTTCGCCTCCATAGCTTCTCGCCATCGGGTTTCTTCTGCTTCTCTGACTCGCATGCGGACCTCGACCGTCCACTTGGCTGCTGTTTCAATAGGACTGGCTTCTGCAAAGAAGCCATACTTCTTCTCCAGCTGGTAGAGTCGTCGTGTCCAGTCAGTCCTCATGCATGTTGCCGAAAGGTACTCGAACACGCGGCGCGCCCATCGAGTGCGTCGCATGAGCGTGAGACGACCCCGATAGGCAATCTTGCTGGCGGCTTCCCGAGCTTCAAAGCTGGACCATCCGACGTCTCCCTGAATCGCCTCGTTGGCCACTCGATAATGGCAACCGAGCGCTGCACGGCCGACCTCTCTCTGCTGACGCTCCAACCACTCCCGTGTCGTTGGCGATATGCACACTACCGCGTTTCCAAACGTCAGGCCCGGCACGTGAACCATCTTCCACAGGTCCCGGATCATCTGAAATCGGTTGCAACCCCATAGGCATCGGCGACGAAGGATTCGTTGAGCCTGCAACGCAGTCTGTCGAATCACAGTCTCGTGTAGACTATATTTTGCTGCATCCACACACAGGGTGACGCCCAGGTATCTGTAATCGTTGCGTGTGGCCAGCAGTTCTCCTCCTAAAGTCAACGCTGCTGCATCGGTACTCCCTCCAGTTAGACGGACAACCGCCGATTTCTTAGTGTTGAATCGAAGTCCAAGACTCGCGAGTTCCGTCTGGCAGATGTCGAGGAGGGATTGCAACTCCTGGTTACTCTCTGCCATAACCACCAGATCATCTGCAAATGCCAAACCAGGCAGGTGGAAGTTCTCTTCAGCACTAGTTGTGCTGAAACGCATGCTGAATCCGAGGTTGGAGTTCAACAAGGCCCGCTCTATTCTGGATGCGTATAGAATGTACAGCAATGGTGACAGTGGGCAGCCCTGCCTCAGACCCTTATTTACATGAATTGGGCCAGTAGTTATGGCACCCAACTGCACACTCACTACATTGTCACTGTACAACCGTTGTATAGTGGAGATTAGCAGCCGGGGCAGTCCAAGGTCAGACAGGCATGCAAAGAGAGGACCGTGCGGCACGCTATCGTACGCTTTTTCAACATCGAGGAAGCAGCACAACAGCGTTCTCCCTTCCCTGCGAGCTATTTCTGCACACTGTGTGACGACGAACAGATTGTCATCCAGACGTCTGCCTGGCCTGAAGCCATTCTGAAGCTCGGTCAGTAGTCCCTTGGTTTCCGCCCAGCCACTCATCCATGCTTTGATGACCCCCGCGAACAAGCGATACATAACACTGGTGACCGTTATTGGTCTGTAGTCCTCTATGTTCCTCGCATCTCCGCCCCTTTTGGGGATAAGAATCACCTTCCCTTCATGCCCTTCTTTAGGGATGGGCTCGCCTTCGATGATGGCCGTGAGGATCTCTGCGAGCTGTTCCCTCGAGTCTTCTCCCAAGCACTTTAGTACGCGCGCTGGCATGCCGTCCAGACCAGTGGCCGTTCCAGCCCTAATCCGCTTCAACGCCCGTTCAACTGTGAACCTTGAGAGGGCCCAGGGTGGTTCTGTTTGGCTTGGGGGGCGTTCGGTATTAGGACTGATTGCCTCCTCTTTACTAAGGGTGGTGTCTGTATTCAAGTCTGAGGTCCCGAAAATCCGGGAGAAGTGCTGTGCAATGTATTCACAGGGCTCTCCGACTGGTTGCCCCGTTGCCGCATCTATGAGAGGAGGTGGCGGGGGGGCGGCTCTGTCCAAGGACCTAATGTATGTCCAAAATTTGTGTGCTGCAGATCTTCCTTCCTGTCTGATGGACTGGATCAGCCTAAGGTTGTAGTCTGCTATCTTGCACTGAATCAGGGTCTGTACCTTGTGTTTACGGTCCAGATGCACAGCCCACTTCTCTGCACATACCTCAGTGTCAAGGCCTTTGACAAATCTTCGATGTTCCCGATTTGCTTGGCGGCGCTCCTTCCACGCCACCCTCCACTTCTTTGTCCCACCATGGGTTCTGTGGCCTGCGTCCCGGCCTCTCCTGGACCATCTGGGTACGCATTACAGCGTCCAGTGCGCGCATGAACTCACTGTACGAGCGGGATTCCCGCCGTTGAGGACTACTTTCAAAATCCTTGGCGACCCTCTCCACGGACTTGCTCGGCAAGTACATGCCACGCCTGGGTGGAGGTGACATGCAGCCTGTTCGAAAGCCGCCCTTAGAGAACAACAGCCGTATGCGATTATGGTCACTTCCAAGGCTGAACTGGCCCTCTTCATCAATATGCACTTGTGCTATGCGAGCGGCCAGTTTTGCAGTCACCAGAGCATAGTCTATGGTAGAGCGGCTGGTACGAGCGCACCATGTGAAGCATCCCTCACAGTCAGTGCGAAGGTTAACGATTTCCAAAGAGAGCTGCTCCGCACATTGCAACAACAGCTTCCCATTGTAATCCAAGTACCCGTCAGTGGCCGGGATGTGTCCGTTAAAGTCTCCCATCAACAACACCTCGCGGTCTGCACCCCACCGTTTCACATCTTCAATGATACACTGTAGGACTTTGTCGTTACCGTCATGTGGTCCACTAGCCACCGTTAAATACACCACACCAAAGAGAACTGGCTCACCAAGAATAGTCCCAGAAACCCAAATGTGCTCGGCACAAGGACCCTTCATTGGCATCCAGGCTGTATTGCTGCGCCACAGCACACCAGCGCCGCCTCCTTTGCGGCAATCCCCTGTACGATTGCAGCCCACCCACTGCCATTCGGGGTCAACTGGTGGCTCTTCCAACTCTCGTAGGTGAGTTTCCACCACACCATACAGAGCGATCTTTTCGCTATTCAGCGTCTTATACAGCTCAGCCCACTTAGCTGCCTTTCTCGCCCCATGAAGATTGAGAAAACCAACGTTTACATTGGTGGTTGTGCGTTTGCGGTGGTGGTGTCTTCGACGGCTCTTCAGAATCATTGGGTGGTTTGACTCGGCATTATTATTTGGCGCATCATTTGCTGGCGGACCATTTCCCCAACCATTTGATACAGCTCGGGGCTTGCGCTGAGCCTGAATGCTTGCCACGGGGTCTTCGTAGGGTGTGCAGTGCCCAGATGTGGCCCCCATGTTGGCGGAGCCAAACTCGTCCCCGGTGGACGGGGTGTGCTCAAAGGTGCTAGCTGTGCCATGTTTGCTGCGTAAACCGGCTGGGTGTGTTCGCGGAGGGTTTGCCCTGGGGTGGTCCGTACATCGGCCCTGATTTCCCCCTGGTGGGTGGTCACGCTTGTGGTCTTGGGTGGTTCCGGGGATGGGGAATGTATCTCCAGGGCGGGCATGGGGACTCTCGATCCTATATTTGGAGGTGGTCTGCGAGTTGGCTTGCCCCTGTTCCCGTGAGGCTCGCGTAGTCCTAAAAAATTTCGTGTCTCCTGGACCAGCTGGGTCGCAACTTCACGTGTTGTATGTGCCAGGTAGTGAATGCCGTCCTGGGCTAGTCGTCCTTCTCCTGCCAGCATCCTAGAGAGGTCGACAAACTTTGCCTTTACGGCTCCACTCATCTTCCTTAGCTCTGCGTTTAGGAGCATTGCTCTTGCCTGCGTTGCCTTGCCTCTCGTGTTAACTTCAGGGACGGAGCAGATGACCAGCCTCTTCGCATACGGTGTCACCGCCTGCCGGATGTTCTGGGCAATATCTCCATGTTGCACTCCTTTGAGAACATCGTGGACCCCTACGTGCACGACCACCAGCTGTGCGCTGTGGCCTTCCCCTTCACTGCGGCTCTGAAGCAGGTGCTGCAGTTTGTCCGCCGTCATCCTGCGCTCCGAGACCTGCCTCACGAGCACACTGTTGCCCCAGATTCTTCGGAGCTCACCCGCGATTCTTGGAGCATTGCCATCACCAACGACTAGGACCTCGGGTGTGTAGCGGCAAGCAGCCTTTTTGTTTTTCTTCACTTTCCCGGTCTTTGTTCATTATTTTGAGCGTTTGTGAGAGACTGGTCGTCAGCTTTGCTCCCGTCGAGTCCAGCAGCAGTCCCGTGCTTCAGATTCATTGTCTCGCCGACGCCACCCGTCTCGTGGGTCCGTTCGGGAAGACCCTGCGCCTCGCCGGTGGTATGAGAGGAGCTGCCGCCACCCCGCTGCGCACCCTCGCCGCTCTGTTCACCAACGACCGCATAGCTCAACTGCTCCTGCACCGACTGCAGTGGCCGGCCACCCTCCGACTCCACCACCGCTTGATCCCTTTCCTGCAGGACATCCACCGAATGCGTCTGCGCTGCTGTGGATGCAGTCAGTACCGGCCGGGAAGGACAGCCGTGCTCGGCAGCTCTCAGCGGTTCTCGCAATTGCTCCTTTACCGCCAAGATCAC